ATTTCTCAAACACATTAGTAATTCATCACGTTTAAAACCTTGATGTTTGGATAACTTATCTTAATTAGCAGAGATTTATACGACTTTTTTGTCTTTTTTTCTCACTTTAGTTTTGATTGGGAAGATTTATCGAACACTCTAGACAGTCTTTCAGCCCATTTCCAAACACCTTGAAATTTACCGAAAAAATGTAGTAAAACACTGTCCATCGTGTTTGATATATTACCTCAAAGCACCCTTTTTTGTCGTAATATCAGTTAAATTCTGAGGATCGACATCGAGGATCGATAGCAGAACTCTCCGGTAAGTTTCTAATTTAAAGGTTTCCTGTGAGTGAATAAAACTCATACAAAACATCGTTTTGCATTGCGTCATTTCCTTATTTTATTAATACTGAAAGTTATTTATACCGTGCTTAAAGAAATACAGTACACGCCAGTGTAATAAAGGAAAGAAGCAAACGGTGATGCAAGGCTGAAAAACGTGTGAATTCGTCGAAACATCTAAGGAAAGTAAGATAATCATAAGCTAAGGGCCTGAGTCGCTTCCTTACTGCCAATAAGGCGGAGCTCGATCAATTCGTTGCCACCGTTTCAAGGCCGATACCGTAACCCGCTCGTTCGCTATCGCTTGGAAATCTAATTCACCTTAGACTATCCTTTTGCAAACGTACCTAGACCTTTCGCAAGCCATGCTTTCATCCTTAAAATAGAAATCCGGAATTAAAGCTTGTGGCCTTTTTGCTTGATCTAAGTTCCAAACTTTAATTTGACATGGTTGGTGTCGGTCATGATTATCAAAACATATTGAGCCAACTGCGGTGGCATTTTTCCCCTGTGCGCTAATAGCAGATTTATTGGGTCTCTTTTTTTGTGACAATAGCAATGACAAAATATTTAGTCCCCTAATCATTGAGTCTGGCGTCTGAGTTATTATACTCTCGTGAACTAATCTGTTGCTTAATTCTACAGCAGAAGCTGTTATTTTTCTAGAATGGCGATCAACGGAAAACAAGAAAATATCTAATATATGCATAATTTTGGTAGTCTTTTTCGGTAAAGAGCTTATTAAAAAACACATCTGTTCGAGAATTCTTCAAGTCTCCAGTTTCACCCATTCAACCATTCTTTCTTTTCTTAATCAGAACCTATATGCACGTTACTAAGTGTCAGAAAGGACAGCTAATGATTCTAGTTACACGTGATAACACAGAAAACAGCCAAAGCACTTTAATATTGCCTGGAAGATTTGAGATGTCCTGCGTCACCGCCTGAGTTAGTGGCTAAGGCAAGCAAATTTAAAAAAATCAATTCAAACCTCACAGTTTCTGTTTAGGTCATCAACGTCCTGTTAAAAGCTTTTATTATGCATTAGCTTTAAGCACAAACCCCAGCTAACAATCTGTCGAGTATTAATTAGTCTTAATGACAGAGTCATCTGCTACGCTTTAACCACACTGGTGATTCAAAACCTAATCGATACAAACCTCACCAGTGTGCAGCTTGATTAATACAGTGGAACTCTGCCTTACGGTCACCTCGTTATTACGGCCACTTTTTTTGTCCCGGCGAAACGCATATACATTTTCCCATAGGAAAACCCCGTTAATGCGGCCACCCGGTTAATACGGCCAACGGCCACATTTTGAAATCCCAACCTGTATTCCTTTACAATTTTACCCAGTTTATTTCATCTTTCCAATCTAAATATGGTATGAACTGATTGATATATCTGTTACTTCTGTTAAGACGTCACTAAGTTTAGACCAGTCATGAAATTGGACCCTACCCCGTTAATATGGTCAAATTTTCATAACCTGCTGGTGACCGTAGTAACGGGGCTTCATTTTGTAGGCTAGGGGCCGAAGTGAAACTGTCCATTCTAGAAATCTATAACTTCTCAAACTCATGAAAAATCATAACCTGACGGGGTTTGGATATCTGATCTAAATTGGGCATAGATTTTTTACTTTTCAGTATTTGTCCGTTTCTCCGTAGTTTTATTTTCGATTGAGAAGATACATCAAACACTGAACACAGTATTTGACCACATTTCCAAACACCTCACCTTCTCAGTATTTGGTCGCGTTTGATCTATTACTTCTTAAACAAAAGTGGTTTCCTGTTCAGTTTCTGAAAAGTTCTGTTTTAGTGTTTTGTTGTAAGAATCGCCAAAGCTGAATCAGGAATCTTATAGTCAACAGTTTTGTCACGTTTACAAGTCGTTAAAGAAACAATTTTCTCAAATCAATAATTAAATTTGAAACCTTGACGGTGGTTGGATATCTGACCTTAATTAGCACAGATTTCCAGGGTTTTTATTTTTCCGTTTTCTTCTCTTAGTTTTAGTTTTGACTGAGAAGTTATATCAAACAAGAAAGTCTTTCAACATAACTTCTCGAACTCATTATATTGATAATTCATCAAGTTAAAGCAAAGCAAATCACAACCGCTGGGGAGGTTTGGATACCCAGTATTAATTAGCATAGATTTTGACGATGTTACTTCACCGTTTACTCCTTAGTTTTTGCGTCGATTGGGAAGGTACATCAAACACTCGAGACAGTGTCTCATGGGTTATCCAAACACTTTGAATTTCGTCAAAAATACTTCGCAACGCGTCGTATTTCTCGGTGTTTGGATATCCCGGTAAAACACTGTCTCTCGCGTTTGATATGTTACTTCAAATCGCCCTCATTTGTCGTAATACCAGCTGAACTCTGAGGACATCGACAATAGTGGAAATCTCATCAAACTTTAACAGGCTACAGCTTAGGCTTTGTCAAAACTACGCCGGAGAAATTAGAAAACGCGACCTGCACCGGTTATTTGGATTTGTGTTTGAGGAAAAAAATCACCTGATTAACGAGACGTTTTCCAAATGTTTTCCGCCTACACTTAAAC